GGGGAAGCTGCCAGCAGCTCCTCACAGAAGCCACCCCTGTACCCCCCTGCTCCCAAAACCTTGCCATGCAAACCCAACACAAAGGAATATCGTCTCCTCTGCGTAGGCTTTGCGTAGGTTTCTCATACTTAAAAGTTTGCAATGATAGTGGTTAATTGCCAGATTTCAGCCACCTCTCTAACCTCTCCCTTTCAGTGGGCGTGAAAGGGTTTACTTGTAATATATATTGCTACTGACTGAATTTTATCTTGTTCTCCTGGATTCTCAGCAGCAATTCCCAAGTTAGAGGCTTCCCCAGAAAGCACGTCAAAGGATTCCCACCCACACACTGCATATCTAACAGGCCCTGACCCATTTTCTCCTTATTAAAGCAACAGTATGTATTTTAATAAATAAAAATAATAAACAGAGAGGCAAAATGAATGCGAGAATTGCAGTTGGAACTCTACCCTCTTCAGATTTTAGTTCTGACAAGGTCACTACCAAGAAGCAGAGACATTTAAAACACAAACATCAAATGTATCTTTCTTCAGTGTTCTCATTCAGTGACTTATTACTCCAGCTGTCTTTCAGCTAAGTACGAGGACTTCATTTGTTAGTTCTGAATATAGAAAAATGCCCTAATTTAGCCATAGTTATCTCCTCTTCCAACCATATCTTTGGGTGTATTTCTGCAACTTGAGCTTTAATAATCTTGCAACTCTGTGACTTAAGATATAGGATGCTTAAAAAGTGAAGCCTCATAGTAACAGCTAGAACAACATGATTTTACTAAGATCATTAATGTTATCTAACCAGAATAAGCAATAGCAATTAACAATGAATATTTAGAATTTAAGTTTTTTATGGTAGTATGGACTACTGCAAATACTACTGCAAGACTCGAGATCCGTCATGTAGTTGATATGCTGGAATTTATTAACATCCCCAATTAAACAAGTAAACAGGTACAATAGTCTGTTTCAAGTAGACACAAAATGGCAACAGAAAATTCAACTGATGTATGACTTTCAGTTTGCCCATTGCATTCACAATTTCAGACATAGCGGGAATCGGATTTTACTGGTTACTGTTGCACAACAGCCTTTTTCCCAGCCCTGTGCCATCACCTCCAAAGAAAGTGAAGCACTTCAGCAAGTCAAATAACCTCTCCCAAACCAGCAATGTTAAACAGAAGAGGTAAAAACCCCCTAGAACAGAAAAACAATGGAGAAGTTTATACTTCTGTGCTGCAGTTCTTCAGTCAGTTACATCTACGGCTGCGCTTCTTACAGAAGGGACAGTCCTACATTTGTCTCAGCTTATAACTGCATGCTGCCATTGCTGTTTTTAAGATAGCACAACTATTTCTCTGGCTCCCTGGTCAGCCAGGGAACTATTTTACCTGACAGTAGACCTGACCAGATAAAGATGTCAACTGGATGAATTCCCTGAGCTTTTGATGCCAACACAGATTTGAATTAAACTGATAAAATTAAGATGTAAGATTTCTTTCTAACACAGTGCAGAAAATGGACAATAAAACCCCATAATAGTAGATCAACCATCTCTTAATGAATACTGGAAGAAAAAATTCTGTTTATGAAAGCTCCATATCTCATAAGTAAATCCTTTATACTTACAACTGACTTGTAAGCAACCCCTAGCTTTACCCATTATTTATAAATTATATACTTATATCTCCTCCTTCCCCCTTTTAATTTAAAAATTCTTTATGCACCTGACTTCCCATGGAAAGCAGATTAATAATGAGCACATATACCATATATGAACATTCTTTTACCTTAATTTTCAACATAAACTATTACAAAAAAAAAAAAAAAGATATATTTACCTTTTGAAAAAGGACCTACCTGTTCTTTCCAGTAGGAAAGATGGGAGATGCGGGAAAACACCAAAACAAGTAAGAATACTGCTTTGTATCTTACAATATATATTCAAGTGACATGCAGTCATCTGTCAGCAATTAAGACTTTGTTCTAACAACTTAACACTGTATTAGTTAAGAATCCACTTCATTCTAATGACAACTTGCATCTGTAAAGGTGGGCAATACTATGGCTGGAGTCCAATTAACCAAGTTTATATGATTTTACAAACAAAAATAGGAACTAGGAGACTCCTTTGTTTGTAAAGCCATAGTGAGTTACATCAACTGTACTACCATATCGATTAAAGCTCATCCTTTCACAAACATAAGCAAACAGAGAATTAATAAAGTCAATCATTGGCAGAACAACATCCAAAACTTGTAAAATCTCTTCATCTACCTGGAAAATAAACTTCTTTCACACTCAGGTTTGCATAGGATACTTTACAAATAAATATATATTGAATCATTGTCTTGGGTGAATGTTTCTGAAAACTTTTATTACCTATAAGATTAGCTTTAATTTGGACTACAAATATTTTTTCCTATGACACAAAGAACAGAAGACTTTACAACTCCAATGACATCTGGTGGAGTTTGCAGGCTTAGTTTAAAAGAAAATGAACTTTCCTTGCCAATGTTATCCACACCATTCTGTCAAAAAGAGCATTCTCTGGAGAAATAACAGTTGAGAGAGGAATTCCACAAATTTGTAAGTATACACTGCATGTAACTTCAGCCTGCAAAGAACTCAGAAATTTAGAGAAATATATTTAAGTGATCTTACAGAGTAGGACAACTAGAAACGAAGCTAAGCTTTCTTGTCACATGCTTGCATTTTTCCCCACTGGGCCTCTGACAACAGCACTTGGAGAGGAATGCACAGTTCAGCCTTTTGTTAGAAAAGGTGAGGAATACCTTCACATTGCTTGAATACTACTGCTGTCTTAGAACTTGTTTTTATGTGGGGAAACATGACTGAACAACCAGGTGTTTCTTTATCCGCCTCTTCCATTTTTCTTCTTATTGCAAAGATTTGCTTTTCCTCAGGTAAAAGTTCTTTTGAAATAAATACTCTGATGTTTTCAACATAACAGTAGTGTCCTCTCCTTCCTACTTTCCCTAAATTTCCTAAGTATTATTTCACATTATTTAATTTTGTATCTACATATTTTTACTTCTTGGTCGAACTGAAACAATAGCCCTTTCTGAAAAGCTCATAGTCAACTCTACATATTGCATACTTTTGCATGAATGTACTCTTGCTCTGACTGGGCTGTTTCTTGAATAAAATAAAGGAACGAGAACTTAGTATAACTAAGAAACCCTAAAAATTTGCATTTACCAATTGTTCATTTAGGATTCAGCACTATTTTAAAAGACAATTGAAGCATGAGCTTTACACAGAAATAGTAGCTTATTAAATTGTTTAGTAGTTTCTGAAGCCAGTGGCAAAATATTTAGCAAACCTAATACTGAAATACAATTATTTTTTGTTTTTTAAAAACCAAAATATTCATAAGCCATACTTAAATTACCTCATTATTTAAAGGATATTATTCCATCCTTTTTTGGTAAAGTATTTGCCACAAAGTGTATGTTTTTGTACAACTCTGCCACCATAATCATCTCAAAGCAAGCAGAGCACACAAATCTTTTTAAAATCAATTTGTAAATATAAAATTGGCTACTTGATGCATACTCAAAATTAACAGAGTACAGAATATGCATTTAACTCCAAAAACCTCAGACGAACATGCATGCAATTAGTCATAAATTGAATTGTATCTCCTATTTAATGGGGTATGTACAGCATATAATGCTATTCTACAATAAGCCATTAAAAATATATTTTTATAGTTTTAATATATAGTTAAATTGTGTATATAATACCACAGTATCAACCTTATCTTGACCATATTTAAGACAGGAGAAGACAACTTACGGGTACGATTCTGAAAGCTGCTGAGCTATTTTATAAGCTGTGGGGTCCCTGTCTAGAGCATATATTGTAATGTCGTTGACTTTCTCTAGCAGAGCTGTGGTATGGCCTCCGGCTCCAAACGTCATATCAAGGAAACACTGTTGAGTAAGAAAGACAATACCATTACCTTAGAATAGAAAGGTGATAAACCAATTGTTGATTTAAAGCTTCTTTTTCTAATCTCTCTCATATGCTGGAGGAAAACATACCATTCAATACAGTCACAACGCCTTTTTGGAAATACTTTGTGCAGAACTGCAATCATGTCAGAGCAATCCTTTTAGGGGTTGTGACTTCCCACCAATCCTTCCAAAACAAAAGGACAATCATTCAGTACAACTAACTGCAGCTTCATACTCTTCTCATTTCTTAACATTCTGAGTTTAGAGGAAAGCCACTTGTTTGACTGCTTTGTTTGGACTTGCTCAATTTGAGGCATACAAAGACATATAGAACATGGGACCATAGGAAGCAATTGGCACCATCTGCTTTGTAAGAATGTATCTAAAAGGAAGGCTGATGGATTTGTGTATCAATTAAAAAAATGACACTATCATAGTTTTATATCACAGATCAAAGTGTGATGGCAGCACAGGCACATATATATCCTAACTGGGACTAACCTAACTAGCACAGAAAACATAAGTTTTCAAGACACAGTACCATTGATTTTGGGTTCACTGTGCAAGGACAAAGCTATTTATTTAGGTTACTAAGATACGCTGAAGTCCAATCCTGCTGCATCTTCTCTACCATCATTACATGCCTTAATTAGATGCAGATTAGCATAGAAATAGCCACCTTAACAACAGTCCCATTTCAATTGCTGACATGACATACTCTAGGGGCTTAAGTTACACCTTTTGATAAACAATGTATATTTCCTTGCTTCTGAGCAATACTTACTGCCCATGAACATACACCATGTCCATTTTTTGGATACACAAACTAAGACTGGAAGATTTTTAGTAATACCAGGCAGACACAGCCATCCTCTCCAGTCTTCTGGACTAAAACTGAACATACATACAAGGAACTTTGAATGCATTCTAACTAGAACATACATAGGTACAGATTCGGCACAAGTTGCGTAAAATTAGGCATTGAAATTCCTCTAGCAAGTCTCTCAGAACTCAAAGTTCCTGGAAATAAATGGAAATTTCACGTTCCTGCCATCAAAAACGTCACAAAAAAACCCAAAAATACTTTCTATCTCATACTTGAGAAGAGTGATGCAGTCATCAAATTTCACACAGAGAGAAGGTGACTTCAAAAGGCTGGTTAACCCCCAGCCGCATCATGGAGTAGAACATCTGCAGCAAATGGTTTGCCAGCAAAGAGGGGAGACTGAGCAACTGGTGTGCAGCAGGTCTGAACATGAGAAAGGAAAGAAGCAGCAGAAGGGAAGCTGAGATAAGACTCTTGAAAGGTGAACACTGCTCTCCTGATGGCTCTTCAGTTTCTGTAGACTCATTCTAGAGAGGTTTCTGTAGTCAGAATCCATTTGACCAACAGGCTGACCAGGAGGCTTTCCTCCTGAGACTTTCCTAAGAAACAGTGACTTGGGACACAGTCAACCACCTTGAACCAAGGCAGGTTGGGCTTTATGATTCCACTAACAGAAGAAACACAAGAAGATTAGCTAGAACTTAATGTTAAGTCTTTTTTTATCTGTAAAACAGCAGTACTGTTTCTAGAAGCTGCCCCATGCGCTTTCCTCCTTCGGCCTGACAACACTGGTACTTAACTGCTTAAACATCAACAACTATTTTGTTGACAGGAATAACTGGCTCTTCACTTAGCAATGCAGAGGTTGTATGACTGCAATTCCACTTAGGAATATTTCCTTTTCAAATTACTAAGAAAGTATCCATAATTCTATAGGGAAAACAAAAAAAAAAAGAGACAGGTTTTTTATTGTTTTATGACAGTGTATTTAAACCAAAGTAGAAATGCAACTGAACATCTCCAGTTTCTGCATCTCTGCATTCCTATAACTCTTTCCTCTCAGCTGATTTAACTGACCTCTTTTGATTGGGAGGAAAACAGACTCCATGCAAGCTAAACTAAACTAGAAGAACAGATTCTCCACATCTCTCAATATTAATACCCAGGTTTGGGGGTTTTTTTTCCACTTCTCAAATTATTTTTGGATATGAAACAGTTTTTGAAGACCTCTTATCAAGTGCAATCATATTCAATAAAAATTAATGTGAACTAAACTTCTTTACAAAAATTATACACTCCAAAGCCAAGCACCTTTAAGGGAAATTTTGTAACTTATCCCTTGAAAGAATTAAGATTCAACCACAAAGTCCCTTTGGATAAAAATGGAAATTCAAAAGCAGCAAAGAACAGATTGAAGAAAGACCCAAACATTTTTCCAGATACAGTTTTTAGAAAACATAAATAAAGGCTTTTTTTAATAGAAATCCCATAATAATAAAACTGAATATTTATGAAACTAATAATCCAACTGTACTGTGGCTAAAAGTAAGTGAAAATTATGATCCTTTATGATCTTTAGGTTGTCATGATTTAATTTCTTTGTGTTATACCATCATTCTTCCTAAGCCTGTGCTCTAGAAGCAGAACTTTCCTGTAATATTTTTAAGTTCAAGGAGGAAAAAAAATTTAGTTGGCTCATCTTCCTATATTAAATTGCACCATTCTTATGAAGAAATAGAACTGACATAGAATATTATTTTTTGTAAGGAGCACGTAGAAGACAAAGTTATGTTACAGAATATATAATATCCATACTATATAAATGCTCCCACAAACTATTTAAGCATTCTGATTTATCTTCTGCCGTAACAAAAACAAAAGTATATTCCCTGAAACCAATTTGATAAGCATAAAACTGAAACGGTCAGAAAAGCACGGGTATTATTTAAAACACAACTAGCCACAAGAATTTAGCTAGGTTTTGAAAACAGTTGCATACATTAAAAACTCCAAGCTACCAAAACCATTTATTTTCTCTATAAAGTCTCACGTTATCACTGTTGATCAGATTCAGCACTAAAATTTTTGAAAACCTCAACACTGCCTTTCCTGAAGCAGACGTACAACGTTGGCAGGAAGAGTCAAGGAAGGCATAGGAAGTGCTAGAAGTAAGCAGCTACTTAATTTAAAACAAAAAAGTTTAGAACAATAATTTTATTCCACTTAAACTCACTAGTAATGTTAAGTTCCAGAAAATATTCTTTCTTCACTAATGGGTTTAGCAATTTGCTTATTTCTTGTACGTCTGTTCTTTTTCTAACTATCTAATTCTTCTTTGGTGATCTCTAGAAAGTACTACACAGATGTGATCCTTTCTGCCTTTCTCTCACCAACACTTCCGTACTTTGGAGAAGGTTCTTTGTTTCATCAAGTTTGAATAGCAGAAAGTGAAAAGATGAGTTGGGGACCTTTTTGGCCATATATCTAGACAATCTTGCTATTTAATCAATATTTAATACTGTTTGGGTTTTTTTCCCCAAAATGAACTTTTGAAGATCTTGTGACTCATTCAAGAATATTTATATTTGTCATTCTGCTTAACATTCTCACCTTTCCTCACACACATCTGCCTCTGCTTTCACTAATTTTAAATTTGATAATCTTTAAGCTTGATAAACCCCTTATACATGCTGAATATTAATGAACCATACAGAAGATCTTATAAATGAAACAAAAATTAATACTAGCAGTGCAAAGGAGAGAAGAAGAGAGGATAAGGATCATTGTACCATGACACAGTGACAAGCTCTCAATACTGACAGCACCTAAAAGCTTTAAATTAAGAATTCATGCAAGCGTACACTGTGAATAAACACATGCTCACCAAATAATATTGCCTTTTCTGAAAAAACCAACACAAACCAACCAAACCTTTAAGCAACAGCAAACTAACACTAACATGATCTTTAAATTGGGGGCACTACATAAAAGAGGATACATCTCCGATTCAAGCAGAAGAGACTGCAGGACTGAACACACAGTGCTGGATAAAATACTGCATCACCAGCATTAATGGAATAGGCTATAGCATTTTTGGCATCCTAGCAAACCTAATTAAGGCTACATTAAGTACATTTTGGCATAACTTTTTAAGGTAAATAAAGACCTTCCATGGATAATCTGTGAACACCACAATACATATGCCTAAACTAACAAGCAAGAACTCATACAGATGCCTCAATCTAGCTGTTCCACTCAAAAGCAACGTTTTGCATCTAGAACCTAAAAAAGAAAATCCCCTTAAGTTATCAAATAATTTTATTATTAACACAACTATGTTGGAGCATTGATCAGATTTGAAATTAATCACTGTACTATACTGCTTCATAATAGGCTTGTCATATATTCCATTCATCTTTCATGCCTGAAATAAAAGAAAGATGCTTCATTTTTTCTTCCTCTTTCTCTCTCGCCTAGTAGTTTTTAATCAAATAAAATTAAATGACATTTTATCCTTCTGGTCCTATAAATACCGGAAAAGATTATTACATGAATTCCTCCAGCAGTGACTCACCGTTCCATTGTTAAGTTATGATAGCCCCATCAGAGTTCCTCTCGGGAATTTCATAATCAGTTTGTGACTATACGTTTTAGAAACCATTTGGCTCTTTCATGACATACAGATAGCAACAAACAAAAACTTTATAGCCTTCATTTTACAACTAGCTCTAAGATAGTTATAGAGCTAGAAAGAGTTCAACATCTTCATTTTTGTATACAACACTTTCAAAATGAGGCTGCGTAACTGATACAAAATTGAAACTCAAACATGACATAAATTGAAACTACACGAGACTTATTTTAAAAATACAAGTTTTCTCATTAGTTCCAGTAATTTCTAGTCTCTGTTTTCTTTCTTTTTTAAAAAGCATGAACTTTGTCACGTTCTGAAAGTCATTTGCTCCTTTAGATATACAACTTTATTTTCAGCTACCATCCTTAATTCTTTCAAGCACTTCATGGCGATCAGCTGATCTTTCACAAAATGTTTTTTCTTTCTCTTGCAACCCTGACATACTCTCAAAAAGGACTTTGACAAATTTTACTGAATATCTGAGACATACTGAGTTGGAATATAGTACACTCTGCC